AAATAAAAAATAAGAGAAAGTCAAGAAGTGATACTCCCAAAGTTAAAAAAAAAAAGAAGTGGGTTTCATTATTTTCTTATTCTGTTGGAGATTCCTGAACATCTTAGCTGAAAGCCTCTGTCTGCCATCGATATGAAGGAGGGGCTGCAGTGGTTGAAAGACACTCCATCTCCCAGCTTGGAGGCCATGTGTTGCTCCCTTGGAAAGTGATGGCCAGAAACCCTATGCATTTGAATGCAGAACCCATACTGCAAAATTAAACCCCACAAAGAACTTTGTTCATGCCATTAGATCTACGGGGCAGGCTATGCTGCTAGTGAGCAAAGGTATGGATGTAGTGGAAGTTTGCATTTCATACTCTCTAGCCATGTTGTTAGTGTTCAGTAAGTAATTGGTATCTTCATGCAGGGTGAGGTTCATTTGTCCATGTCTCTGTGTAGTTGCAATAAGGATGCATTTCGCTACCTGACCAGGTGCTGTAGGTCCTCCTGTTACTATAGTGTTGGAGGCTACAAAGGTTTCCTAATTGGTAAGGAGATTATCTAAGCAGTCAGAGAAACACAGTCTTTAGGACAGCTGACAGAGGTCAAGATAAGACTTCAAGAGCTGTTAGGGTCCTAGCTGGAAGCAAGTCATTCAGTTTCTGGACAAGGGCTTAGTAGTAGAGATACAAATAGGGGAAACAACCCTGAGGTGCTGTGTACAGGTGGGACAGTGTTCCAACTCCAAGCCTGAGTAACACGTATGTCTGCTCTTCCTCTCTGCCTGGTTCCCATGGCAAACATGGTCTAGAGGAAGCCACAACACATCCCAAAAGGTCCCAGCTTTGTTAGGGTAGACCAGAGCTGTGGAATGCCTCTGGTAGAAGAAAGCCAGAGAGGGTGGTGGAGTGGTCAGCTAGCTATGCCCAGGGAACGTGGAGCAGGTGCTTAACAAACATGAAACCTGAACTTGTGGTGGCACTAATTATACCAGCCATGTAAAAGCGAGCAGATCTTAGTGTTAAGCTTCTCAGCAGTTTGTGCAAACTCAGTGCATTTTTTTTTAACATTATAACTTGGAATACTTGTCCCCCTACCCTCCCTCACCCCTTTGCTTTTATCTGTTTCTTTTTTGCTACAGAGGCAAGTAGTGTTCTGGTTGCTGGTATGCTCTAGCAAGCTGCTTTTGTATATCGTCCTTTAAAGAAAGCTTTTGCCAGTTGAAAGAATAGATGTAAGGCTGCTTAATTTCTTGGAACGAGAGAGGGGCAGGGAAACATAACTAACAGCTTGAGAGCAAAGTATGGATAGCACAATCTCCAGACTGGAAACAGTTCTAAACTGCTTGCCCAGTGGCACTGGCACTGCTTTGCCACTTCCTTGGTGTTCATGTGTAAAAACACATGTCCTAAATTTACTTAAAAACAAATTCATTTAGAAGATCTAGAGATTTAAAATGTGTTAGTCAACTAGTCTGAGGTTGTAATGAAAATTCTGCAGCAGTATTTTTAGTTTGTGTCCATTTTGCAGACTCTTAACAATTAATTTGAGGCTGGTTTAGTATGAATAGTCATTCACCATACACCAGGACTATTTTAACAACCTCTGTTGTCATGTGACAAATGCAAACCCTGCAGTTTTCTCTAGAAATCATCATTTAATTAGCAGATGATATTTAGGGAGTTCGCTGACAAGTTTTTCCTGCCTCAAGCTGCCATTGGTAATTTAGCAAAATGTTGAAAATGAAGGATAAAAACCTGACATAACCTTAACATTTCTTAACATTTTCTCATTTAATTTGGTGAGGAAAGTGATTTCTGACATACCATTAGTATAGTTTCTTCATTTCCTGGCCTGCTGACAGTGGAAAAGTCCTTGGCTGCCTGCATACTGGCAAGAGGAAGAGTTACTGCATGTTGCAGAGCTACCAGCATCCCAAGGGGAGAATTGACAACATCAGCAACTTGCCAGTTTTGCCCCTTCCTGATATTCCATGTGGCACTCAGTAAAACACTCTGTGCACATACCCAAAATCATGCACCACCTCTTACCCATGTTGAGGGAATTGGGTCCAGCATCAGTCTGGCAAATCCACTGGGAGGATGTGCAAAACTGTCTGTCTGACATACCAATGAGATTATGAAAATAAATGCTTATCCATTTTCCACTTTTTAGCAATCTCAGCCTATTTTAAATGTTTTATGTGGCTCTCCATCACTGTAAAATTAGAACAAAGCTGTCTGAGAGCTGCCTGAGTTAACAAAGGCATGAATGTTCATCTTAAATCCTATTCTTTTGAGGGATTTGCAAGGACTGCTTCCAGGCTGGTAGAAAAATAGCTGGACCTGTTTTGTGCTTTGTTAGGAAAACAAAATTTTTGTCATGTAGTCTCAGAAAGACTCTGGACATTTTGTTTTTCATGAATTTTTTAAAGCAGCCACAAAAGGATGATACAGCCCCTAATTATGGAATGTATAGAGGGAAAAACTATGGACATGAAAATATGGTGACATCAGGAACTTAAAGCTCTTGCTTGGCTGAACTGATACCAATATTCATTAGCTGAGGGGAGGAGGCCAGCCCATCCACGTTTCTTCACCTTTAGCTGACCATTCCCCAGAGTAATGCACAGAGGGACTGCTTAATCTCGGGTGGGTAACACACAACACACATAGCTATGATGAAGGTCAGGAAAAGTGTGGTTTGTGAACAAGGATACTTATGATTTGATCACAAACTCTGTGGCCATGCATAACATGTGAGTTTACATAACATGCAAGCTAATAACCACTGTGAAAGGCAGAATAAATTCATTTGGTATTGAAAATAATGCTCTCACAGTTATTGAGATTCCTATTGACTTCTAGTGCAGATGTGAGCTGAGAAAGACAGTAGACCTAGTTCTTGTTATTCATGTTACATGTATAACTGTTTCCATGCCCCTGAGTCTGCTTCTATCAGCCTTGAAACTTTGGTATCTCTTTGAAAAATAGCTCACTTCAAACCTCAATTTTGACAAGTAAACAAAAATATAACATCTTGAATGAAGTTGCACTATGGTAACCTTCTTTGGTAACATTCTTTCAGTTTAACTGAAACATGATCTAAAACCTTGGTAGAGAAGCAGCTACATCTCTCTAAAGATCCATGCATGAATAATGGGGGTTTTTGTTTGGTTTTTGTTATTTTTTTTTTACAGAAGCACCTTTGTCAGTTGTCTCTTTGCATGTAAGGTAGGAAAACTGGTACTGACTCCAAGTACTGCTGTATATCTCAGCTGGGTGGAAAGACATGGAGCAGTAGTAATTAGTCCAGTAAACTGGAAGGACTTTAAAGGTTCTCAAAGATAAAACAGAATATGGACACTCACACGCCATTCAAAGTCTGCATTTTCTTCTCATGTGTGTCTGCACTTTTTTCTGCTGGCATAAGCTGAAAAAATGTGATTTCAGTTTCACAACCGCAAATTGAACTGCAGAAAGCCAGAATTTTTGAACAGTTGTTGGAATGAAATGAAGTTTGAGAGCTCATGGATGGGGTTTTCGTCTGAAAGAAGCAGTCAGTCTTAAAAGAGAAATACCACAGCCAAAGAAATTATATCAAAGCATCCATGACAGATTCTCCCTGGGTGGGTGGTTTCCCGCATGGTGGATGACTGTACTCCAGGAGCACCCCTCCGTGCTCCCCACCTACACAGCCTCCCCATGATGGGTCCTGGCTGGTGGTTTGGGCAGTTTGTGGGGCTGTGCCAGCCTCCTCAGTCACACTGCTGCATGAGGGGAGAGACCTCTGTGATGGGGTAAGTGACCCAGGGATGTTTTAGATGAGGGCCAGCAGTCACAGAGATAACATTAGGGGTCCTGGCATGAGTTTGGTTTGGGTTTGTTAGTAAAAAAGTCAGTACATATACTTGTCATACTGCATTTAACATGGGTTGTTCGTACATATGCACACATACAAATGTGTGTGTGTATGTATGTATAATGGTATCTGTCTTTCAGTGTGTATTTTTCATGGGTTTTTTTACTCCCCCTTTTACACAGATTTTCAGACTTCCTACTGATAAGTGATTTGATGCTAATGTAAAAACATAGATGCAATTTCACCTGAATTAGACCTGCAATCACAGTGGTACACCAGTTAACACTAAAGTTAATTTCTTGTTCTGAAATTAAAATAATGAAACGTAATTTCCTTATTAAGTCTCTAGAAATACTCTTGCTTTGGTGCCTGTTGCTTGTCTGCAAAATCGTAACTGTTTTAAGACAAAGTATCTAAGTAGCGGATGTTAATCTGAAAATGCTTTGGATTTAACCACCTTCTTCCTGGTTTATGATGATATTGCCAGTTTTCTGGGCATCTTCTAAATTTCAAGCTGCAGATATTTAAATTTTCACATATCTTAACATCGCAAAACAAGAAAAGCTATATTCAAGTACACACAGGAGTTTTCCAATAAGCTTTTCTGACTATAAACAGTACCAGATGCACTAGAAGGTGTAAAACATTAAGCATAAATTGTTGTTATAGGCAAAGTTCCTTTCCCACCAGAAGCAGTTATCTAACTCACATATTTTTAAAATTTTGTTGGCTATAGTTGCATATATTATTATCCATACTAGTACTAAATTCTTTTTCTAATCCTACTGTTCCTTGGTCTCAGTAATATCTGATGACAGTGGGGTGCACAGATTCATGCTTTTGTCAGGTTTTGAATCCTAATTCAGGAAAACATCCATACAACATGCTACATTCAAACCCACTACACCTACACTTGTAAACTCACAGGATTAAGCTTTTGGCATGCAGGTACATCTCAGTCTCTTTCTTAGGACAGGAGTATGTGCTCAGCTGCTTTTTTTTAATCAGAAAGGTAGTAACGCAGTCATGGTTGGCTGAACTCACGCTTCTACTGGCCACCAGAGCTATAGGTAGATCAAAACACTCCAAGTCTAAGAATTAGTTGTACATAATATTCTTTTCTATGTATCTCATCTTAGGTACTATAGCATTAGGAAGATTTGCACGTCATTAGCGCTGCTAACTTGAAAATTTCACCTCCTGCTGTAGCTGTTTCATTTTATGCTGACGGGCTGCCTGCCAGTGATCAAGCTGTGACTTCAGTGACCCATTAGAGTACCGATTTATGTGTTCGCATGACTCTCTTATCTTGTTTTGATTTTGATCTGTTCTAAATTATTCCTGAGGCTAACTCAGCTACCAGCTGACCCAGGAACTTAGTGACTATTTTCTGCTTTCTTGTCTCTCCTGCTGGCTCAACTGGCTTAGACACATAGGAAGGTGCAGAGTAGCCAGGCAGGACTGAAGCACATGGAACGAGTCTGTTGTGTAAATATCTGAGTAGGTACAATTTTTCAAGAATCATTAATATGTACAAATGCAAGAACCAAAGGAGACAATAAAACCAGAACTGATAAAATGAACAGGAAAGGGGCTAATTAAGGTGAAACACTGAGATAAAGCAGGTTCATACAGGTCTGAAAAGCAGAGGGTCAGCCTTGAATTATATTTGAAACCGGATGGAAACTAGTGTGAGGATATTTGATGATCATGGTGACACCATCCTGCTGCCTGGAGGAACAGAGTAATCACTCTGCAGCATCGTGGATCTTCTGCATGTGTGCTAAAAACTGTAATTAAGAAGTGGGGTGCAGCGATGAAGACAAGCTGCTTGATGACAAAACCACAAGGTAAATCTGGTTAAAAATGTTAGTGACTTCAGTGCAAGATGTGTTGAGGATCTCATGCCCTTCCCCTTTTCCTTTCTTATTTAATTTAACGTGTGTCAGAAATATGCACTATGTTCTGAAAGTGGCTACTTCAAAAGAGAAAGTGTTGTTTCTGGTTTTATATTTTTAGTATTTCCTCAGATCTCTGTTTTCACAGAGAGCTACATTCCTGACCCATGCAGTATCCATAGGCATTTCTCGCTGTGAAGAGACAAACTCTATGCATTGGTAAAGGAATAGAAATTCATGAGAGATCTAGATTTTTTTTAGGATTAAACTAAAGGTGGGGAGCACACATTTCTTTCTGAAATGGTTTTATCCTCCTTTCTGTGCATCTTGTTACAAGACTGTGCCATGTTGCATTACCACCCAATTTCCTGAAAATTAATGTGGCCAGTGCATATGCGATCTCTCTTTCTTGCTCTGCCTTATAACTGTTCTGGGACTAGCTGCAAGCTAAAAAGGGAGAGGAAAAACTGGAGGAATATGATTTAAAATATTTTTCCCATGAGATTTAATTAATCTTAACTATAACCAGACTCTATGCCTTGTATAAGGTTTGTTTTTTAACAGATTAGCACTCATTCAATAGATTTTTTTTTTTATATGTTAATTGCTAATAACATCTAAACATCAAGCAAAGTAAAAGTCCTATAGAGAGAAGGCTTCATTTTATTATTCACCTCATCAGATAAGCAGCATGGCAGAACTCCCGGGAGGCACAGAAACTGGGAACATATCCCATCCAAAACTGAGGCCCAGGTACTACTATGACTTTCCTTTTCTTAAAAATGATTTTCTGAATCCTGAACAATGTGAAGCAAAAACCCAAACACATTATTATTATGAAATTTTGCAATGCTGTTTTTCCTGATGTCAGGTATTCAAGTCTTATTACTTCCCTGCTCAGTAAAAATGAGAATGTAATAATGTATGCACTCAGAAACCCCAAAGGATACAAATGTTATTTTTCTCCTAGCTTTCTAGATTGGAAGAAAAATAAACTTCTTGTTTACCATCCAGGAAAACATCCCCTTCCCCTTGGCATAATTTGTATTTGCAAATAAAGTCAGCTTTGTGGTTCTCCCTGAGATTGCCAGTTATGTGAAATACAGTCACCAAAATAATTATTTTCAAATTTCATTTTTACAGCCTCAGCCTATGGCAAAGCTGTTGCTTCTGAGCTAGAGAGCAGTCCTGTCATGAAATAGGGCACATCTCATGGGCTACTCAGTCAGGCCAGTCACACTATTACTATGATAGGAAAGGAAGCATCATCCCTGATCGGCAAAGGGTAGAGAGCACACCAAGTATCCACTGAGTCTGAAGTAAATTATTTCTGCACAGAAGAAAAAGGAGTCTATTTTGTAAGGTGATGACCCATTGCCTGGAGAGAGTAAGAAGTGTATTTCATGCTTTGAAGTTTAGTGTGCAAACTTTCACTATATAAATTGTTTCCATCGCGGGTAATTTCCTCATTAATGAACTGAAGGAGGCCAAATGAATGTATTATTCTTATGAATTGTAGGTCTAGGACTTTAATTGTGTGAACGCTACATTTTTAGTCATGCTGAGTAAAGAATCAGGTTCCCTGAGGCTGTGCAATCCTCTTGGGAGTTTCTATGTCTTGGCCTGCACTGTGCCACGCATGTTACGCCTCCCTATCCTCTTCAAGGTGTGTTGGCTGTTGCACAAAGCTGAAATGTAAATCTGCATTTATAGCACCTGACTGTTAGCAAAAATTATTCATATTTCCAAGAGAACTGGGGATTGTCTCTCTCCTGGTACCTGATAGGGTAGAAAGAGGATGTCATGGTCTCTGATAGTCCCCCAGCCTGCGCACTCTTGAAGGCTGAGCCAGGCTATAGTTATGCCCTGATTAATTAATTGCTGTGACATTATAATGAGCTGTACTTCCAAGTAAATAGGATTTTAATGCAAAGTTTATAAGTGTGGAAAGAAAAGGAGTTAAATGTTGTACTAGGAGTCACTGAAGGTCATCTTGCACCCAGAAAATTCAGTAACCGGGGCTTTTGTTCACTTCATTGTTACAAGATCAAGTATGCAGGAACCAGCAGTAAAGAAGAAACTCCTGGAGCACTTGTTTCCTTGCTCTGTGCTAAAGCTCTCAGATCAGTCCAGCCTCTGAAATCATGCAGAGTGGTCACCATCTGGGGAAATGGACATTTAGTATTTTTCAGAGTCATGCAGGAGGAAATAGATGACACTTATAAGTATGAGAACAATCCTTAATATGATTAATATGAGCCTCATTAATAAGATTAATAAGCCTTACATCTTCACTTTGCAGTTTTATATTTAAGTTCTGAATAATTTGCAGTCTACTGCTTGGAATAGTAGAGCAAATCTCTGTTGATTTTGACTTTGTTCTCACTCCACATTTATCTTTATCTTATATACTACCTATAAGAAAACAGAAAAAGATGGAAGTTTCATCAGGAGAGTTCCTCTACAAATTTGTGTCAACATTTTAGATCTTTTTAGATTCTTTTAAAAGAAAGTTTGAAATGTAACCCAGACAATGTTATCAATGTAAAAGGATAACTGAAAAAAATGCTTAAAAACCCTCCATGCATAGAGGAAGTAATCCACCAATCCACCCATATGTGTTAGGCTGATTCAGAATTCACTGATCAGAGAGTGACTCCACTTCAGTGTGTTATCTGTGTTTTAACTGTCTGTAATAGGAAGTAATAAGAAGTATTTTCTATTTTATCAATATTAACAATTACATTATTTTTCCACATTTTTAAATAGGACAGCATTCCATTTACAGAATGGCACCATGTAGTATTATTAGATTTTTTTTTTTGTTAAAGGCTGGGATCTTAGATAATTAATAGAAAACTGATACCAGGATTACATTAGTTATGTATTCAGGAAAAATTAGTCTGGATGATCCGTTTACACAGCTTTTTATCTAATATTTACACTCAGCTGATAGCTACTGAATATATAGAACGTTATGGTGACCAATTAGATCTGCCTTTTTCAGCAAACTCTTCTCTGTGTGAGAGTCAAGTAAGTTCCAGACTTTTTATCAGGGGAAGACATACTAGAAGTGGCTCTAATTAAAGATCCCCAAAACTGTTAAGCTGAGGTGAAAAGTGGCGCAGATGAATGATGAATTTTTTCCTGTCTGAAAATCAACCAACAAAATATCTTTAAAAGTTCAAAGAAAAAAGAGGGGAGGAAGAAGATATCCAAAATTCACCTTTTTCATATCCTCCAGCCTTTTCTTTTTCCATCTGTGTTAGACATTCCTGGCACCTAGAACTCTGAGTTGGCATGTAGGTATGAAAGTAAAGGATTATAACGTAGAAAATCTTTGTTAGTCAGTGACCCAGGTGTTCCACTGCACTCCCGGGATTTGACTGAGAATCTCCCAGAGCACCTGCAGTTCTGCTTCTGCCTTTCTGAACGCGGAGTTTGCTGCACAATACCTGAGGCTTTCTGAGGTGCTGAAATCAGAAGGGTGGAAAGTCCCTTGGTGTATTTTACTGTGATGTGAAACATTCAGGTAGTCGTTTCCCTTTTAAATTTTAAGGACTTTCCAACAGCGCTGTTTGCCTCAGCTCTGGGAAAAGAAAAGGAGGATGGTGAGCTTCAAAAAGATTGTGTAAAGTAGCACCACAGGTCACTATGGGTCTGTGCTATGTAGAGTGATAAGCTGTTTAAATTAGTGCAGGTTCCCACTCCTGGGCAGCAGCTGCTGCTATCAATCACTGCACTACACTCTTCCTAAGGCCAAAATTTCAAAATTAGCACAATTATTCCAATTTGCAGTAGATTATAATCTACCTTGGTATCTGTAGTGGCTTAAACTGCTTCTGCCGTTTGCTTAGGTGGCTAGTGATTAATTTGGAAGGAAGAATAATGTGAATGCTAATTCCACATGCTTTGTTCCTCAGCCATCTGTACTGTAAAATTTTGATGAAACTTGCTCCAGAGACTATCAAAGGCAAAGACTGGAGAGACAATTGTTACCTCCTCCCCATGAAGAAGTGGGGTCTGGTACTGCAGCAGGCCATGAATAAGTAAACACTGGAAGAAAGGCTCTTACATAAATTTAGTAAATGTCTCTGATGAATTGTAAGTACAATCAGAGAAGCTGATTTTTGTTTAAAGCTCCACAGCTCAGCGTGTGCTATTGATTTAATACTTTTTTATACAGTTATAGTAATAACTCCTGAGTCAACTCCTAATGCTGCACAGGTAAAAACATATGGAGTTGCAGTGATTGATTTTTGGATACTTTAGAGATCTTTTCTGGGCTGGACCCATTGTTTGAAAAACTGTTCCCCATATCTGACGCACATGTACAGGCAGAGTTTATCAGTACTTTGCAAGTCAGGTTGATACTGGCATCTGGTGCTTGAACCTTGAACTTGGTCCTCTGTTCAGCTCACTGTGTGAAATTGTCCAAGTTCCTCTGTGCTCTCAGTCCCCAGCGTGTATGACAGCTGGGACTCCTCAGCCAAAGAAATACACAAAATCAGGGCATGTTACAGGGAGCAGCTCTTCACTGTCCAGTCACCCAGGTTCACTAGCCCTACCTCTGCACCAGCCTGAAACTGGTTCACATATGGGTTCCCTTCACACCAGGACCATGCTCCTAGGTGCTGGGATGCTGTGGGATTACATCAGTTTTGCTGGAGAAACCATTTGCTTTAACACACCTGTGCAGCACTGTGCTTCCAGCAACAGGTCTGGAGCAAAAAAATTGCAGCACCAGGTGGATTTTCACATCCTGCCAGAGCCAGGCCGCTTTTGTGTGGTTTTGTGCTTTTTTTTGCTCTGTGGTCCCAACAGAGATGACTTTTCAGGTTATGCAAGAGAGTTGTGTGGCCCCTGCACATCAACGAATGCCATCAGGCAGATCTGGCATCTCCTTGCCGGCACTGTGATAGGCCTGAGAGCAGGGCATGGAGAGTGAATTGGCTCATATTATGCAAATGATGCTGGATAAATGTGCTCAAAAATACTTGTCTCTCTTCATTTGCAACCTGAATGTTGTGAAAGAGATTTTATCCAAAACTTTTTCTCTGAAATTTCTTCCGTTCATATGATCAGAAATACCTACAAAAGTTTGTTGTGTCTTCTTTTTCTTAATGTGGCTAGGAGGAACTAGAATCAGGGATTATGCTGATGCTTAAATTTGACCTAAAATACACTTACAGTAAAGCACAGGAAAGTCAGTGTAGAGTATTTTACTGGTATTATGTATGTGACATTATCTTTTAATATTCTCTGATGTATGGTAAGAAAATTTTGTAAGTTAAGTCATGATTATGCATAAGGTAGTTTTAAAGGCCAATTGATAACTTTTTAAAATTAATGCTAACTTCTGAACTAACTTTTATTCAAATTATCTGGCTGCTTCTGTTTTTTTCTGCAGATCTCTCTTCTCCTTATAAAGCTTAGTACAGAAATCATTCATGATAAAATCTTAATGTCCACAATCACTTGAAAAAAATTATAATCTGGATTTTGTTGACATTGTTGCCATTCCAGATTTTTCATTAAAAATAACTGTACTGCACGTGCATTTTTTTCTTTCCCAAACATATTTTAATCATGTAGACAAATTCATGCTTTGAACAAACAAACAAGCATTGGAGGGCTTCCTGGTTTTACTGAGGTGCTGTTACTTAGAAAGCAATAGGTGGAATATTATTAAGGCTATGTCTGCGCTGCCTCTCTGCATATCTGTGAAGATACAGAAGAACTTAGAATACTGAATAAAATATTAATTTAATTAAAAAAAAATTACAAAATGGGTCATTCTTACTAATGCTGCAGCAATATCCATTTTCCAGAGGTCAGATGAGTTCAATTAGCTTTTCTAATAATGTTTGTCAGGCTTGTTACAGAAAGAGTAAAAGCTGTTTGCCAGAGTTGCTAGACACCCACCTTTAGACTGTAGCTTTGTATTGATTTCTAGAAGCTCAGAAATGCCCTGGAAATCTTGTTTAAAATGGGGTCCAGATGCCTCCCATTAGATCTTACAAAAATACACGTGTTTACAGGATTTTGGAAATGTCAGCTTCTTGGTGGCTTAGAAGCGAGGTCATGGAGGTTCAGTATTCTCACTTCACGCAATTTCAGGAAATAAAAAAATAAAGGACAGATGTGAGGATTGTCCCTCAAAGTGCCCTGTGCGTCATGCTCCCACTGGAGTTTGCAGGGAGCCCAGAGGCAGCCCTGTCTGACTTCGGCAGTGAGCATGTCTGGGTTTTATTTTGGGGAAAGGAGTATACAGCAGTGACAGACTGTGTGTGCATTCCCCCCATGTTGCATCTCAAGCTTCTCTTGACTATTAGTGTGACCGACACCAGCATTTGAATTTCTGAACTCTCTTCCTCTATTTTCTGTCTGGAAAGTTGGAATTTGGTCTCTTCATGCCAATGTCTTGCATGATGTAAGAAGGGTCAGCACAAGGCTGGTATATGTTGGGAGATAATGGACATGTGAGCAATCCTACACACGTGCACGCCTCGCCAAGGGCATAGAACAAAATTCGGCAAACAAACAACTCCAGGAGATGGGTTGGGCGGAGAAAGACGTTGAGCGTGGCGCTTATTATCCAATCATGAGAAGGCTTGAAGCGCGTGGACAAGGCTAACTGTCCAATCATAAGGATTGCACCACGTACCGTTCGCGTGCACAGGAGAAACCTATAAAAGGGCTTGCTTACCTTCACTAGATGGGCATTGCTCGATCATACTGGTGGTGTGCGTGTCCATAGCTCCCGCATCTGGTGCTCGAATAAGGGACCCTCAAGATTGGCACAAGCCTTCGCTGAGGACTCGACGGAGGTCAATCAAGGATGTAAAGCCGGTCGAAACTGATCCAGACCCTGCTCCGGGGTCTGAACGTGAGAAGCAGCACGCTGTAATTTGGGTGGAAGATCTTGGAAAAGAAGCGGCGGCCGGGGGAGGAATGGGGCCTGTTCTCGGCAGAGACGACCAAGCAGTGAAAGTCCTTCAAGATGTCCTCTCCATGAGAGGCATAAAATACGATAAATCCACCCTGAAAGGCTTGGTGAAGTGGAGCCGGGAAAGAGGACTTATCTCCAGTGCAGGTCAGATATTTGAGGTATCTACCTGGGAATCCACAGGAAAAAAGCTTTGGGACGCGATCAGTGAGGGGTCGGCAGAAGAAGTGAGCGACTATGCCGTGCTTTGGAAGCTGATTCGCGAGACAGTAGAGGAGCTGAGCGACGACCTTGCGGCTGCGGAGCGCATGGCTGGGGACTGCGCGGCTGGCGACCACGTGGCTGGTACTTCCGCCCTTGAAGCGGTAGAAGCGGCAGAAGCGGCTTCTGGCTCTGACATGCCGCCTCCGGTGCCTGCGCCGCTGGCAGAGCCCGTCGCGTTATGTCAGCCGGAAAACCCGTTCGCTCCACCGGCCGCGCTGGCGGTGCCGCGGCGGGCAGCGGGGGT